TCTGATATACCCTTCCCGACTTTCATTCTGTGAGGTGTAAGTTATATATCCGATATACCCTTCACGACTTTCATTCTGTGTGATGTCGTATGATGACAATCAATGACTGTTTACCAACAACGTCGCACACCTGTAATACTGCTGAAACAAATACATGCTCATGATATAGTCAGAATTGTACATTCGACTCAGCTTTTAGTAGAGATTACTTATGAACGTGGAAAAGGTTTGGCCTCTTCTATTAATATATCCGATAAACGCCCTTCCCTCCTTTCATTCTCTGTGATGGAAGTTATATATCCGACACATACACCCCCACCCCCACCCCACCCCCCCCCCACCCCCACCCCTTGCCTTTCAGCCTGAATGATATTACAATATTTTGTTTTCAACACTTTTATCTAAGGGATAGTTCATAATTGATGGGGTGTGATGCTGATCTTTATGGAGAAACATGTGCAACGTGAATGACCCACTCCCTTACAATTTATTTACAAAGTAAGTGACACCCCCATGCAAGTAAAGGATCATGTATAAATGCAGCAAAATTCGGTCACATACACCTGAATACGGAAATTTTTTTCACAGTTACATAGCTAATTACGACAAAATCAGAATTATTTCAGAACACAATGGGGTGTTTGAACTATTTCCATTAACGTGGCCGATTATATGATATTTATTACGTGATGTAAATAACATGATGCTTGCATTATAAAACAACACAGTTAATGAAAATGAAACGAGAGGTTTGTTTGAGTGGGAATTGCCACACGATATAAACGATTGAATAACTGACAAGTACAAAAATAATTAGAAACTCTTAAGGTGCTTCAAACCTATATTGAAAAATTAAATGTGAGCTACATATTTGCAGAGGAATATGGAAATATGTAACTGATAATTTTCAGTGTCTCCTCACAAAAACATTAACTAAATCATATTCCGCGCATAGATTGCCTTAAGTTTTAGAGATAACCGGGAGCAGTACTGCAGTGAATAGGGTTTTACGAAATTGTCGTCTGTTTATCCCAGTTCTGGTCGTATCCCAGTTCTGGTCGCTACAATTGTGCATTTTCCATAACTGAATTTGTGGAAATGATGATGAAAACTGTCAATTCCAACATTCTAATAGCTTGCACGTTTATGTAAGAAATTGAATAACTCATTACTAATGAACTGAGTGAACTAAACTCACTCACTAAACCCGCTGGTTCACATGTCAACCCGCTGGTACAAAAGTCATATTTCGTTTCCTGAGTGGAGACATTTTACATTTTGTAGAAAACCAGTGTTTTGATCCTTTAAAACAACACCGTTTTCACAACATCAAGCATCAACTAAATTTGACAGAATTTTTTACTTAAGGTGTTCTGGCGCTTACCCCTCGATTGGTTTACTTAAATAAGTAGTAATGTTGAACATGAAATCAGTGATTAGAGATCAATAGAAGTACAACTGCACCACAAAAGGTTATTCCCCGATTTTCCAATAAAACAATTTCTAAACACGACGTCGCCCGCGACGTCGTGGGAGACGTCGCCTTCGACGTCGTCGTGGACGACGTCGATTTTGTATTTTTGTCGTAGATCATTCTTGTGTATTTCTGCACGACGTCGTGGACGACGTCTTACACGACGTCGTGGTCGACGTCGTCTTTTTTATGCGACGTCGTGAGCGACGTCGCCCACGACGTAGTTCTTTTTGTACGCGACACGCGATGGCAATTATAGGACACCATACATGACGGCTGCGTGTCTCAAACGCGAAGGACGTCAGGAAGGATCAGCTTAAGACAAGGTAAAACAGAAACTGTTCATCTTCCCCTGGCGTCTCTGCCACTTGATCTGGCGCCACCGTAACACTGGTGGGACTACAGTGATAGAAATACTGACACAGTCTGGTTAAGCCAACTCCTTTAGGTTTCTGAATGAACTTACCTGAAGTTATATATGTTTGTAGATGCTGATACTAGTTACTGGGTGAATTGGCACTAAAGTACTGTCGGAAATAGAAAAAAACTGTTTTAGGCTGTTACTCTGTATCCCTAAAATCTATGCAAATAGCATATGTCGAAATAACCCACTTTGGCCTAACTGGGCGTTCAGTGGGATGTGTAATACGATATCCAGAAAAGCATGTTTACTCGTAAAATCGGGAAAAACTTAGAAAAAATACGAATAGCTGCTGAAAACAATAGATCAGACTATAGATGGCAATTAGGTCGCTCAGCCAGGTATGACGACGGACCGTCGACTCACCTTGCATGAAATGCACGTGCTGCCTACAGTCACAAGGGGTCATCTCAAAGATATTTTGTGCTTTTTCATGTGTGTTGTCTATGTCTCATCTATTGATTAACATCTTACGTGTCTTTCTTTCATATAGTTTCATATAGTTTATGTTGAGATATGTAAAAGAGTATGATACCCGAAAACCATAGAAACGCATCGTAGTATATAGGTGGCATGACCACCCGAAGATCGACAGTACTGGATATTATTTGTAAATTGTTATGACGTGCCGTGTACCTCCCCAGTATAATTGCCCTAAAGGATTATGTTATCTTAGCTGATATCTCTATCCCCAAGCCCGACCCCAGGTTTTGCTTTTGAGACGGCCCCTCCTATCTGTTTCTTTTTATAGTGACAGTGAGACTGCATGGTAGCTACATCCTTAATAGTTTCGGCATAAAAGTTATTATTTTTTACGTCAGCTATCGTTTATAATGAATCTACGTCTAATTTCAAATTGGGCATTTAATAAGAAGTGTCCTTTGTAATACAATATCGTCGCACAAAATTTTGGATAAAGCAATGGTCTGTTCCAAATAAGTCTTTTTGGACTTAGAAAAAAACCGCATTGCTCATTTCTGCACTAATTTCCCCTCAGTAAAGTCCTTTTCTCCATTTCCTATCTCTACCACCGAGACTGTAGTTAGGCCGAACTTAGTTTAACAGATATTTCACACTTTCACATATCAACTACATAAATTGTAGAGATAAATGAGAAAATACAGTATTTTTCTATTTCCGACAGTACTTTAGTATCTATCATTTATCATTACATTGGTTATATTACGAAACATCTGAAACATAATCCAAAACTAAAGAGACACTGAATGTGCTTAGGTTTTGTGGTATGCTTAAGACATATTTATTTTTTACTTGTCTGCTCTTTGAACAACAAAACAGCTGAGGCACTGTCATGTTGTTCTTGTCTTCACAGAAGTTTCATACTCTTTGCACAGACTGAAATATATTCAAAAGAGCAGCTAGAGGTTTTTATTTTTCCTATACCTTGAATATGACATTATTAGTGCTTGGTACGTTGATAACTAGTTCATTTGGAGGAAACAGAGACGTTCGTGTGTTGTTTCCTGTGTGTTACGTTGTTCATTACACGTACAATGCGTCATTTCTTGACATACTCTGTAATATACAACACACGACCACTGCAGTATAATTTACTAGTAAACTACAAGTACATTACATATACATATGCCTGAACATATGCAAGATGTGTTAAGTCAATATAACATTATAAAAACATGAAAGGGAATTACGAGGATACATCCTGGTGCATTAGACATCTATCATAACGGCTAACTTGTGTAGACAGTCTATATTGGTGATCTTGCCCTGTTTCATAATCAAAGGGATCAGTTTTGTGGATGGATAACCCATATCGACTTCCTTGTATCAGTCAGTGTAGCTCTCGGATGCCATATAGAGTCTACGTTATATATGCATAGTTCCGACCGACGCTACGAAGCCACGCCTACATTGGTTACTGTTGCTATGTCCCCCAAGCTTTGCTATGCTGAGCTGTCAAAATGGCTGAATGTCATCCGGGAGACGACTGTCTCAGTTCAATACCCGACAATATCTCCTTACATTTCCATCCAGAACATGATAGAATATCAAAAAGGGCACAAGCAAGGGGTTTAAATTATTTTCTAGAAGGGTATGTGCACGACATTAAAGTTTTCAGTCATAATCAGGCCGTTTTCGTGTACGCGAAATGTTGGAGATCGCTATCGAAGCGCGAAGAGGCGCACAAACTACAGCTGGAGATAGATGTACGATCACAAGAATTTGCCGATTCCTACTGTTCTTGCAAGGCTGGGTAAGTGCATTAAAATGCGTTATTTTAAACCAGAGTGACAACATTCATCAATATCTTAATGTTCCCTCCCAGGAATTAATTTTCTTATAAGCCCATGACATCACGTCCGTTTCCCCGGGTCAGCCTCGATCTCCACTTCGCTGTCAAATGACATCTACTTTGTTAAATAAAACAAAAATCAATACTAGAATGCAAAATACACACAAAGTTACAATGTACAGACTGGTTGTGACACCAGGGTAACACCCCTGTCACGTCAAAACAAACGCAGAGAAAAAAAACCAACACCCCAAAACAAGCCCGGACATCTGTACTGTGATGTCTAAATCTGGGACATGTGTAAAAAAGGTACACGAAGTTCAAATCATAATCAAGAAAACCAGCATCTTGTCTTCAGCTACACACTGCACATATATAGCCATATATTTTCATACAATTCTCCAAAATATTACAATTTCAATATATTTTTGGTTATATTTGATTTTCATTTTGATGGAATTATCAACTACGTATACAGTACACATATTTCATGAAGGCAGTCATTGCTATGTTGAACTCTAGTAAATGTATCAGTCTGGGCTACTAAACAGGGGTATATCTTTTAAACATTTTTTCACTTACTAAATTTAGTAAATCCCATTCACTCAATTATTCTTATTTCATATTATACTTGCATCTACATTCACATGAGAAAGTGGAATTGGTATCTGCTATATTTGTGTATTTCTTTCCCCAGTTTTGGAGGGCGCTGTTCCCACATCGTGGGTTTGGTCAAGTCCCTGCAAGGACTGAAACTGCATGATTACACTCATGTGCCACAGCTGCAGAGCTGCACCAGTTTGCCCCAGCAGTGGCACAAACCTAGGGGGAAGGACCATTACCCCAGTCCCCATGAATCATATCACTGTAGCAAGACCCACCCAGAACAGGAAGAGGAAGCCAGTGACTTGCCAAATTGATACTACAAAGAAGTAAGTCATAGTCCAACATTACAATCAAAGGTTTATCCTGTTAAAATATATTTTAAATAATAAAGTGTTTTTAACATTTATATGTGATTAAATAAATATTAATGTACATACTTCTGGTAAACCACATACATAACAGTCTATATGGAGAAATTAAAGGAATTTCACTCTTTCAGTCTAAAGTGATTATTTGAAATTCTATAAATGTACCTGTTTCTCAGAATCCCAGTTGTCACAGAAACGGACATGCAAGTCCTGAAGGACCAGGAACATGCTCCATTGAGCTACATGGTACACCTGACTGCCCCCAAGGTTCAGACTCCAGTTGGAGACGTGCAGTTGGGATCATTCCTGTCTTACCAGGTACATTCCATCACCAGAGTGTCAGTATCACCAAAATATCTATGGGGATCTGGGCTGCTTGTTGAAATAAAACAGTAAAGGGATCTGGTGCCCAGGCTCACTGACTTGGTATATGCATGTCATTGTATCCAAAATGTGCAGATCAAATCCAATCCTGTCAATCGCTATATTGTCAGACCCAGAAGTATCTATTTTGTAGAACACATCATACCTGCAATATTGCAGAGAGCAGCAAGTAACAAGCAAACGTCAAAATTTATATACATGATTTTATTGTGATTTGATACATTATCAAAGTTATTCTGTCAATAAGACATATTTCTGAAATGATACTCATGCCAATCATTCTGACATCATAATTTTTATTAGAAAGTAAGTTAAAAAATATAACTAATTGAGAAATGTTTAATTACCACTGAAACAGTGGTGGCAGTTAAATAGCACACCTGTCCTTTAAGAGCACAAGTACTGTGTCACAATTTGTTTTTGTATGAATTATTAGTGTAATTTAAAAACATGAAACAGGATGAACACATGAACATGATTGACATTATTTCAAATAACCTATTTCTTCTTTAATTGAAATATGCAGGACATAAGGTTGCCACAAGACAGAAATGCCCAGTGTCATATTTGACATAAAATACATTTTCCATCCCTGTATCAATAGCCTCTATATTAAGAGTCAAATACAATGGAATTTGAGCTAAGGGGAAAGCAGGCAAGAAGAATTTCCTACAATATAATCAGGGATTTACCTGGAGTCCTGTATTTGAAGTTACCTGGGACTCATATTCTTAATCTATTTTACAACAAAATGGGGGTCCCAGAAACTTAAATATTATTATTAATACTGTTATTGTATTGTGTATCATGATCATCACATTGTTACAGTAATTAAATTGCAAATGATACCATAACCCAGCTAGTTACAAACTCAGTCATAACTTATTGTTATTTGATTGGAATTTTAACAAAAAGTATTTGCACTTTTTCTGTGTCCCTGTGAATGCGCTACTAAATTTTGTTGTGTCCTTTGTTAATTTTTATGCGTATAGGACACAGGAATTTGCGTCTTGTAAATCCCTGATAATATACATAATATCTGACAATTTCAATCATAAGTTTCATAAATAACTGCTCAGTTTCCATGTAATATGGAACATATTGCCATACATTAATTTGTAGTGCAGAGATTATTTCGTATGTGTGATTGCCACAGGCCAGTGTACATTACAACTGCAGAGAAATTGACACAGTTGGGTGCAAGGAAAATGCAATGCCCTAAGCCAATGGCTATATATGTACGTAAATAATTTTATACATAATTTTCTTGATAACAAATGTTTGAATTTCATCATACTGGGATTATGCCTCAGTCCCAAAACTCAATCAACATATAACATACTGAAAGAACATTGATGTTGCAACTGTAATTGTCACAAAACTGAAGCATATTGCATATTACGAATATAACCTTTTATATTTTCAGTAAGTTTCAACCAGAACATCAAAGTCTGGCACATAAAATTTATGCCAACATTCACTATAAACTACAGCACTGAGGGCCTCAAATACACTGGTAGAGCAAATAGTGATGACAAACAGAGGGTACCCCACATCATATGGGTTTACAATGGAACCTTCAAAGTGTAAGATTATATCTTTACTGCATGCCCTCTAAAGAGTGAGCTAGGGTCCTTCTGCGATATGAATCAAGTTTCATTACTTACAAGTGCTGAAAAGTTAAGTTGATTCATAAGTCCTGATACACAGATACATGTACCACAGTTTGATAGTTATTGGTAGAAGTAATAGAGAGCCTTAGCTAACTCTGAAAATAAGATACATTTTTCATTGATTCATAAGAACATTTGAGTGAATCAGTATATGCTGATATAATGGAGATTCATAGTTAAATTTGTAGTGCTTATTCATGTTTATCAGTGACAAAAATATTTTGGAACAAAGTCATACAAGCACAAACAGTCCAAATCTGATTAATTCTTCCAAATAATGAAGTTGGTATTCTGTGTGCTACAATCTTGAATTTCTTAATCTTAGCTATGAGGCGTTCTATATGGATACGGTGTGCTGCAATTTTCTCAGTGGCAAGAGTTTCAGCAGAAGTCATTTGGGTTTCTGAAGAAACAAAAGGTGGAATGTTTAACTCTAAACCTAATTCTGAAAGCTCGTCCTCTATTGTAAAGCCCTTATCAGCCATAACTGCATCTCCTTCTTTGATGTAACCATGAGTAAGGAGCACCTTTAGCACATCATAAAAACCAGACTGTTCTGTTAATGCCTTATCTGAGATTGAACCAGTGAAAAGTTCTGAGACAAATGTTAGAGAGCCATTTGGATCACACCCAACAAGACATTTCAAGGTAGTACTTGATTTATAGTCACTGTACAGCTGACTCTGAAGTCCAAGAGCACATGGAGTTTGAGTTCTTAACTCAGTACCATCAATAATAATAACAGAATTTGGAAAGTCTCTTTGAATCCTCTTGGCATGTTTGAAATGATGGTATCTCTGTGTGGCCATAATGATAACTGTCCTAGTTTCAAGTACATGTGTTCTACCCAGGCATTAAATACTGCACCACTCGACTGTAATGTCAAATGAAATCTCACAGCTATATCTTTGAGCCCAAAATTGTGCCGTAAACGACAAAGTGTCAAAACAAACAGTTCTCAGCTGATAAAGTACGAATATCACAACGTCCCTTTCATAGGTCATGGAAAAGCTCCCATCTCCTGGTACTAAAACTGTAAGAGTGCCAAAAACGGATGTATGTTATGCCAGTGTAATATCTAAAAAGGTTTTTTAATTTTCCAGCTTTCCCCTTGACTGTCTCTACCCCAAATTTCTGTCCTTTGCTAACTTCTCCTTTAAGTTTCTTTATTTCTTCATCCTTAAGGGTGATTGATTTCTGCAAAGCATCAATCATCATTTGCTGCTGTTCAACCTGGGCTCGAAAGTTGACTATTGTTGCGGTCAGATTCAGGTAATCAAGTGGAGATATCCCTGCAACATAAAAGTTGTCACATACATGATACCAACCAACACAAATCTCAATGTTTTACTTAAAAACACACTCATTTACACACTCATAAGCTTTACAACACAAATTGTTTTGATATGATGTTTTACTCTCTTTCAGACAAGAAATATCAAACCTGTCACAACACTGGCTCACACTCAATGCAAAGTGGAATCATTCCCAAAGACATCACCTATCAAACTACCAACTGAGTTTCAGGTACTCAACGATGGATATGCTGTGGCTGATCCTGAACAATTAGAGAGAGACACCAGGGGTCAGTCCTACAGTCTCCTCTGGAGGTCATCCAGATCAACGAGACTAACTGCTTCAAATTTTGGAAAGATTATCAACAGAAAAAAAAGGCCAACTACTGCCTTCTTGGACACCTTATTTCCTAAGGAGAAACAAACAATATATGCCAAGCCTCTAGAGTATGGCAAAAAACATGAAAATTCTGCTAAGTCCAAATATTTGGAAACATTTCAGTCTGCCCATATGCATGATTGTGGCCTGATTGTAAACCCTGAATTCAGCTTTCTAGGAGCTACTCCTGATGCAAAACTATGCTGTACTGTTGGGACTGGCATTGTAGAGGTAAAATGTCCATACACTGAAAGGAACTCAACCATTGAGGAGGCATGTACAAATGATCAATTCTTTCTGCAGAAAGATCAAAGTGGATCTATACATTTACTTAGGAATCATATGCATTATGCGCAGATTCAAGGTCAGCTTCTCATTTCAGGTGCTGATTTTTGTGAATTTATAGTGTACACTCAGAAAGATTTACATGTGGAAAGAGTGTATCCTGACTTGCCATTCGTGGCAAACATGCTACAAAAACTCTGTCAGTTTTTTAAGGACTTTGCCAAACCTCACCTAGCTCATGCTATGTAATATGTTATCATTTCATGATATACGCTCACAGTTGCACAGGATACTTACATGTTTGCTCTGTTTGGGTACTGGAACCTTGGCTGGAAGGCAGATTATCATTTCCTCTGTTATCTGTGTCAATCAGTACACTGAAAGATGTAAAATGTATTCCATATAAGGCCTTGTGAAACATTTGCAGATTGTATTATGTAACATATGTTATATTTTGGATTACAGTTACATGTTACAGTTTAACACATTCTAAATGGCTCTTTGTATTCACAGATTCTTTTAGTGTTGTAAAGGGAAAACTTGTACTATGTATTGCTTTCAGAGAACAACTGACTTGTCTACAGATATGGTATATAGGACAATATGCAATGTTGCAATACAACATGTATTAATATAATGATGTAATGATGGGCCAGACATATTTGCATCCAATATTTGCAAAAGTGTAGCGTGAGGCATTCCATTTTGTCATGCCACTGTTCAAGGCACCTGGGTATATTCAGTGCTGACAGATGTGGGATTACTTGAAGGGTTAATGTGAGGTCAGACTGTGCATATTGTCCATTTCATTAAGTAAATAGAAAGGACACAAAAATTAATGTAATGTAACCAACAAATGGTCATGGTTACAAATAATTCTGAAAAACAAAACAAATCATGATGTGACAATCATGTCATTAATGGTATTGATTGGTTGATTGAAAGCAAGCATATTACCACCAGGTACTGTGAACGTCACCTGCAAAGAAAACAGAGAAACCACAAAGCATCGCATTCTCTAGACTAACGCTTAGTACCAATATATATATAATTTGATAGTAACAAACAAACCCATTTAAATTGAAAAGGAGTCCCAGGGGAGACCAGAGATTCAGAACCTAAGAACCTGAATCTAAGGAAATCTAGACTTGCTCCAATTAGGGCTTTAGCACTGCAGAGAAGGCTAGGTAGTAGGGAAAATAATATAGTTCAGGGACTGTGAGACAGACTATGATTTCTCATACAAATCCATGTAGTATGGGGTGAACTATGTGTTAACATTCTTAAGTTTGTTTATAATTCTCTACAGGTTCACATTGTAGTTTGAAATGTATGTTGAATATGGGTATATATTTGTTACATGTACCAAATCTTTTCAAAAAAAAAAAAATAATCATATTTGTTATGTAGAGGTGCATCGATCAATGTCTGTGATATTTCTTTTGAGTGTGGACATGGAGGGTAGATCTGCATGAATTTGTTCCTAAAATTGAAAATACTTTGTTATTTGTTTTGCAGTATCATCTATTTTGTTAGTACTGCATTGGTCAGTGTCTGTGATATTTCTTTAGACTGTGTTATGACAATATCCTCAGGTGTTTCCAATGAAAATGTGTGCTGAAGACATCCATCACTAGTGTGTGATAATTGTAAAAAACATTAAAATATATCCACATAATAAACATGGAGGATATATATGCATGTATGTGTTCCTAAAATTGAAAATACTTTGTTATTTATTTTGCATTATCATCTATTTTGTTAGTACTATTGGTCATGTCTGTGATATATGTGAGTGTGTTATGGCAATGTCATCAGGTTTGTCAACTGACAGTATGTGCTGAAGACATTAATTGTTAAACAGCATCATAAAAAAATTAAAATAAACATGGATGATGAAGTCGAATGAACAATTAAAAGACTTTGTGCTATGTATTTCTGCGTTGGAACAATGTTGTCCATAGGTGTAACACATTAAACATGTTATGTGTGGCACATTAAATATAAATTTGCTCACCTGACACTAGGCTCAACTGATTGAATGCCACTGCCCAGGCACCGTCGCTTCGGGGGAGGTCTCACTGGTTTGATGGCGCTTCCATCGGCACTGATAGGGTCTGGAAACTCTTTCGTGGGATATCCATTCACAAAATGCTAACAAATATTTTAAAAATAAATACATTAAATTATCACCTATACGATTATATTGCCTTGGTAGGAACACGACGTTTAGCTTGCTGAACTACTTAGTACTTTGGTGGTTGTAGCGAATTAAGAATTGTCAACCAGTATCGTTATATAGCCATAGAAAACGCTGCCGTGCGACAATATATTGCGTTGGTAAACATATAATCCGAAGAAATATCGATATGAATACGGTCATATGCTAGAAAGACCAGTTTGTACCTACACTACACTCAGTCATACCTTGGAGCAGACGAACTTGTGTTTGTTTATGTTGCCGACATTCAGTTGTCCGTGGGGTCGGCCACACGCTCCAATCCACCGCGAGCACTTCTCAAACTGGGTTTTCGGCTTGGGAAATGGCAGGAAATGGACATTAATGACTCTCTCTGGGTACCTTTCGTCCGAATTGCATGTACCCCAAGCGCAGCGCTTCACCATTTCGAAAAAACTCGCTGACAGCTATGTCCTTAGATACACAAAAGCTTGGGGGACCAAATGGCGCCTTAGCGACAAGCTGTGCAGCAGTAAAGGCGCGGAGCGTGCTGATTGGTTAATTGATTCAGCATCGGAACTATGCATAATGAACGTAGTTGACACAAACACTCGCTGTTCTGGCTTTAGCCTTCTTGTAGGCTTGCTTGAAAATGCTCTGTCATGTTTTATTGACTTGCTAAATTTTGCTGGATTTGTCGACCCGCTGTTGAAATGATTTGTAGGTTATCTGTTCTTTATGCACATAACATAACATAAAGATTGTTTGTCCGTGACTATATTTCAGCATGTTCCTCAAATATCTATTTCTTGTGTCATATGGAAATTAAAGTCAACACATGTGAGATTTGGGGATTTGATTTTTCCAAATATTTGAAGACATGAAAAAGGAAATGTGAATGGTTAATTGATTTTGAGCCAAGTATCAGCAAACAAAGTCAAACAGCACCGACCGGATGCAGAGGCTCATCATCACTCAAGTGGCAACTAATCTTCCTCGATGGCCAACACATGTGCATCACAATCTTTAAAAAAAGTCTTCAGCATCACAGATGTCGCCTTCGGGCATACTCACTTCGTCATCTTCAAAATGTGTATTTTTCTGACATGCCTCACAAAAAAGTTCTCAAGTTTATCAGCTTCCTGTTCCATTAGCTTTAACTTTGTAGCATGGATGCGTGTATCATTTGGATAAAAACGTGACATTTATACCCCTGCATCTGACTGAGTGTCAACGAGATGGACCTGTAGATGAGATAGGTCGAGCAGGAATAAAGGATCGCTGTACTAAAGACGACAGTGACAAACACTAATTCCACCCAAAATGTTGCGGCGGTGGTTCCGATAAACATCTCATCTTTACCAATCCGAAGTAGTTACTGTGAAAATAGATACAGGCGTGCACATCAAAGGTCATCTGAAGCCGCTAAAGACTTAAGATTGACGTGTTGTTGACATCATCTGCTGAATTCACTTTACATAATTACATCGTGACTGTGGACAGAGCTTTCTTTCTCTTCGACCAAACAGTGCTAAACTGGGGTCGAATCATCGTCAATACAAGGCTGATGATGAAACGGATTTTTGTTTATGGAATGAATTGTGTCGCTAATGATTATCATCATGACTCTAATGTTGTTCTGTCCATCATGGAATAATCCATCAACACCTCGGTTTTCGTTTGGGGATGTTGTAGAGACGCGAGGTGTATTTCTCTAACCTGAAGTACACGAGTAAACATTGTACGTCACAAGGGAAATGTATGCGATACGTTGTAGGCGTATCTAGGCAGGCTATTATCATCCCTGATTTAAGGTGGCTGATTATCTTCCAGGCATACCTACACTCAATGCTACAAACATTCTGCCGGCTCTATTTACAACACGATGACTAGTGTGTTTGTGTGTTATCGTCAAATTAAGTGATCAACATTGTATGTATCTGATATGGCACTCTGTTCAAACGTCTCACGTTTGACTCAACGCAACAAACATACTCTATTCAGTCGAAAATTGTCTATAACGTTATGAACAAATAATATTTCTTTGATCAGCGTTTTTGACTGAACTTTCCGTTTTGTGGGATTACACTTCTCATTAGATTAAGGACCGCTTTGCATATATCTTTATATGAAGTCATTATCTGACCATAGTTGTCACATTCCAGCTATATGACGGCTGTCTGTAATAAGTCGAGTCTGAACAAGGCAATCCAATAACATTCAATATGAGTATCGTTCTATGCAAATGGGATACGATGACATGACCTCCTCATCCCGTTAGCCGCCTCTTACGACAAGCATGGGTTGCTGAAGACCAACTGAAATTACTTCGCATTTGGCGGATGTATGTTTTCGTGTCCTTATGATGTACTAAAACTGCAAATGAATTTTCTGCGTACACTAAAGTGTCGGAACAAAAACAACCCAAAACATCATGCGTTTCATGCCAACAAAATAAATTACACAAAAACAACACTAACCAGTTATCCATTTGATAATTGGTATTTAATTTTCATTAATGTTATTGCTGAAATCATGTTAACACAAATGAGGTGAAAGGACGTCCAAGCCTCCAACAGGCTGATAAATCCACCACTAAGCCATTGCAGGTTCACCTCCCACTTTTCTTATTATCATGGACAAAAAATAATACCTTGCACAAACTAGTTCGGGTGACGGCTGAAGTGAATTGGAGACATGCTGTTATTTGCTTCTTACAGAAGCTAACTGAATTACAAGTATTTTGTTGACAACTAAATGATAATATAGCCATTGTCATGAGCCACCATGGAGCACTGGTATCAGTCAGAATGAATGGCATGTTAACAGCGTGTTATCAGTCACATTTCATGAGAAGATGCTCATTCTTTCAATTAGAACTGAATCGTCAAATATAGGGTACTTTGGAATCACGAATCAAGCATCTACAGCTAGGTTTAATGGTGAAAGACGATTACAGGAATCAGTATTTCCCAGCTATATGACGGCGGTCTGTAAATAATAATGTCTGGACAAGACGATCAAACAATATATGTGCTCCACGGTGAAATTTAATATTTGTTTGTTAGTATTCATATATATATGGACTGAAGACGATGTTACTCATGAACATCATGGTGCCATTTCGG